CATAACATAGTCTAATTACTAACTAACCAACTACATAATAGAATAATAAACTACTCATAGTATTCACAAATGAATATTTCGCATTTCGTCTTAATATCCAATCGCGCACTTAACCTATTACAAACTTACTTAAATTACACGAACCTATACCGGATGAACTGCCCGGCACGTGGGCGCCTGGACAATTCGCCGGTCGCAACTTACGTTACTACAAATTAAACTTAAACGCGAACCTTTAGATAGCCGGCACGTGGATGCCTGGCTATCCTATTCAACGCGCACCGGTCGTCACATCAGCAGAGAGAGAGAGTGTATAGAGAAAGAAGAAAAGAAGGCTTGACCTATGTTCACCGCTCCTAGCAACGTCGTGGATCCCGGGCGATGTGCTGCCGCAGGAAGTACTGGTCGTCGTCGCTGGTCAGATCGTTGCTAGCTGCTGGCTGCTATCGCTGACCAGGTATCCACAGGCGACGTTGACTCTCCTTGCAGGGGTGGGCTGGCTGCGGTCGCAGACAAAACTGTTGCCGGTAGGGTTGACCTTCCTTCCAGCTATCCCAAACTGCACTCTCTAGCAGGACTACTGCACTCTGGTAGAACTGGGCTTCGACTCCTACACGCACTTATTCTTGCGCTCGTCTTGCAGCCGCTCAGCGGCGCTCGCTCCTCTCCCTACCTTGACCTATTAGTTAGGCGGCACGCGACGCACCGCTTATCGGTCACGCGTTGCGCGCCTGCCAATCCCTGCATGGGCCTAATACTCTCTCTCTCTCTCTCTCTTTTTCTCACTCTCTCTCCGCGCTCCTCAACTTTTCTTGCGCTCAACTGCGCTGGCCCGTCCTTGGCGCTGAAACAAAAAGACCAAGTGTTAGGCGCATACTTTAATGCGCCTAACGTTTGCCAACACGCCTTGCCGAGTGGAGGAGAGAGAACGCAGACGAGAGACCGGCACACGGCCTGCTCTCGTCACAAAGCAATGCATTAGGAACAAACCTATAAGATTTAGGATAAAGCTACGGGCACTATGTTCTTCAGATGGATATATATATGATTTAGATATATATACGGACAAGTTTGGTACTGAATCTGAAAATCCTTTAGCTTCTGTTTGTTTGGGATCGAGAGTGGTTATCAAATTACTTCAAAGGTTCCTGGAGATGGTTAAAAATGAAAATCGGACAAAATATAATTTATTTTTTGATAACTTCTTTAACCCTTTGCGGCACAGTGGGAATACGTATTCCCACCTTTTTTCATAGCATTTCTTGCAAATTTAGAATAGTTTTTGATGAATTTACCCTGAGCTTTTTGTCGTTTTACGATTATAGGATGATATACAATTCAAATTTACGTCAATAGGTGCCACAACTTTTATTAATTTGTTAATATTGTTAAACAAAGACGAAAAAACAGTCTTATTTATAAACAAAATTCATTATTGAAGAAACTTTCAGTTATAATTTTACAAAAATTTATACAAAGGAGTTTTTGGGATCGCTAATCACAATTCTGAACTCATAATTTTGAAATTTCAAATGGCGGATCCAAGATGGCGGCATAAATTCAGTGTATATTTTTTATTTCATTGAAAAATGGTATACAAGGGTTTTTGGGATCGCTGATCACGATTTTGAACTCAGAATTTCGAAATTTAAAATGGCGGATCCAAGATGGCGGTAAAAATTTGGTGTATATTTTTTAATTTATTGAAAATTAATATACAAGGGTTTTTGGGATCGCTAATCTCGATTCTGAATCCAGAATTTCGAAATTCAAAATGGTGAATCCAAGATTAGATTGATTTTTTTTTGTATTTTTGTTTTTTTTTTGTTTTTTTTCACTTTTATATTTTTATCTTCTCACCTTTAATTTTTTAATTATCTTAGCTTTTTAATTCATTTCAATCTTTCATGAATGATACTTCAAAAAGCAATTTCTGTCTACTTGTAAACATAATGGTACGTTGCAGGTACTACATGACCATTTAGTTCGCACATCTTTTGTTTTTGTAGTTGGAATTTTGTGAGAAACCAATCGATCCACTAAAAGTAGTCTGAACTTCTTCAATGTTATAATATTATCAGCGTTTATTTTTGAAAATATAATGAATGAATTTGTAATAGTTAGATCAATGAAATGCCAAAATAATCTTTGCCACCACTTTTTGGACTTTCGATCTATTTTATATGTAGATAACAAACGATCAGCGTTATCGACAAATCCCATGTATTTGTTGTAATCAGAGCACATGACTGGACAATCTACCTGCACTCGTGTGCCATTTTTCTGTGTTCGATTTACTGTTGTCATTTCGGATGGATCATGGTAATTTGACAGGAAACAAACACCTTTCTTATCCATCCATTTTATCTAAGTAATACCAGTATCAGACGTTCGAAAATCGTATTGTCCATGTTTCATTTGTTTGTCAAGCATTACATATTTAGGTAACCCAGTACGATTGGAACGTACAGTTCCGCAAGCAAATATTTTGTCTTCTTTCAGCGAAATTAATAGATCGACACCAGTGAAAAAATTGTCAAAGTACAGATGGTGTTTTTTACCAACAAGCTCATGCGTCAAATCTTTGACAACTCGTGCTCCTAACTGTTTCTTAGAACTTTCGGTTTTGCCAGTATAAACTTGAAATTCACATACGTAACTGGACTCATCCGCACGAACCCAACATTTATATCCTCGTTTTATTGGTTTTGAAGGAGTTGACTTTTAAAAATATGGAATTTCAGAACTTTCCGCAGAAAGAAAGGAAATTTTCGAAGAAATATGATCACCCATCCCGAAAACCTCTACATGCACATTTTCAGAAGAAATTCTGAAATATCAATATTTGCTGTCGTCTTGGATTCGTTATTACGAATTTCGGAAATTTGAGTTTAGATTCATAATTAGCGACCGCAAAAACCCTTGTATACCAACTTTCAATAAAATAAAAAATATACACCAAATTTTTGCCGCCATCTTGGATCCGCCATTTTAAATTTCAAAATTCTGAGTTCAGAACCGTGATCAGCGATTCCAAAAACCCTTGTATACAAATTTTCAATGAAATAAAAAATATACAGTCGGACCTCTGCTACTGCACGCTTTCGGGAGTTGGTGCCCTCCGCCACTGCCCGCTACGGGCTCTCTGGCGTTAGCCAATAAGAGCGCTCCGTCAGGTACGGGCATTGAGTGGCGTGCCGCGCTGGTCTCAAGGGGGGCCCGAAGAAAATGTTACAAATTTAGGTACATATCCCCCCCCCCACAAATTACAAGAGTCATAAATTACAAGGAGTGTAAATCATAAGTCACAAATTACAAGGAGTTATCTTGTACTTGAAGATATGCAAGATATAAGAGCGACGCGTCGGCGCCAGACCCATAAAAGTGCGCCGCCGGCAGGTGCCAGGTAAGCGACTGAAAGCGTACGACACTGCGCTCGAGTCATAAATCGGGCAGTTAGAGAGGCTAGGTAACGGGCAGTGGCAGAGGTCGGGCAGTTGCGGAGGGTGCAGTAGCAGAGGTTCGACTGTACATTGAATTTACGCCGCCATCTTGGATCCGTCATTTTGACCGTCATTTTGAATTTCGGAATTCTGAGTTCAGAATCGTGATCAGCGATCCCAAAAACCCTTTTATACCAACTTTCAATAAAATAAAATATATACACCAAATTTTTGCCGCCATTTTGGATCCGCTATTTTGAATTTCGAAAATCTGTGTTCAGAATCGTGATCAACGATCTCAAAAACCCTTGTATACCAATTTTCAATAAAATAAAATAAAATAACCCAAATTTTTGCCACTATCTTGGATCCGCCATTTTAAATTTTGAAATTCTGAGTTCAGAATCGTGATCAGCGATCCCAAAAACCCTTGTATACCAATTTATACGAAAACTGGTTTCTCTGAAAAATGTATGCCGCAAAGGGTTAAATCTCCAGATCTTATGATTCACTTAAGAAATATTGGATTATCGGCTACAGGAACTGTTCGTCAAAATCGCGTCAAAGCAAAAATCGATATGTCAAAGAAAGCTGATAGAGGAACCACTATCTCAGTTCATGAAGCCAATTCAAAACTGAATTACATAACGGTGATGGACTTAAAACCCGTATCAGTTCTCTCAACTAAATACGGAGATGAACCGAAAGTTGAAATGAAAAGATGGCATAATAAAACTAAATAAAAAATTCTCTTTCCTCAAGCTTTCTCAATGCATAATAGGCACATGGGTGGAATAGTCTTACACGACCAGCATTGTAATGCACTTATGCCTACAATCCGAAGAAAAAAATGGACGTGGTGTCTCTTCATGAGACTTATTCAAGCTTCATTAGCTAATGCTACTGTTATTTACAATAAACTCCATCCAGATGAGAAGAAAGGTTCAAAAGATATTGTGGAGAAAGTTTGTGAATATTATATTCAAAAACTCGAAAATACTCATCTACCCAAACGACAGAAAAAAGTTGAAACTCCGACAGAGGAACATTAGATAAAGGTTGGGAAACGTAGAAAGTGTGACAACGAAAATTGCTCAGTATTGACTGAATATTGTTGTTCAAAATGTGATATTTATTTTTGCAAAACTCACAGAGAAAATCATTCGTAATTGTTTTTAAGGGTCTGTTTAGAAGAAAGTAGTTCTTTTACTTATAATGATTAACAAAAACAGTTGGGTCGATAAAAATAATGTTAGAGAGGTTTTTGTCAGCATCACTTCTCAGTTTCAAATTGTTTATAACGAATATACACCAATAAAATCGAGTCTGACAAGAAAATCATACAGAGGTTTTCGCCTTGGGTTTTTCCGTAGAACCGATTGCCGTAAATAGTTTTTCAAAAAACTAAAACTTTTGTCAATTTGTTTAAATAACTTTTTATAAACAACTGGAAATGCAAAAAGAAAAAAACACGTGTAAATTATTTTTGAGCTATAACATGAACTCAATAGTTATTTCAAGGCTATCTCTACCAGATTCGGCTTGGGTATTAATGGGTTAATGTTATTATTTCTGGTACTCGACTCATATATGTAATTCATACACCAATACCAACTGGTGCTGATTATACTGTGTATAAATTTACACCAATACCCATGTCAGGATGGACACAATATTACATATTTGACAGCATTAAAAATGAGCCTATTGCTATTGACTCAACATTCACAGAGTATACAGTACTCGACTTAAATAATTGTATTTCTGATAATGATATTCAAGTATGCGAAATAACATCCGTCATGCATAGATTCGGTAATGATGAAAGTTGCTATGATTGTTTAATAAGATATAAAGACGATAAAGGGTGTTCTAGAAAATATTTTAATTTACTATCTAAATTTGTATTAGCATTAAATGACGGTTTTAGTTGGTATATTTTATCGGACAACACGTCAGAAAATATAATAATGAATTGTGGCATGTCTTCGAGTATAGCAATATCTGTTACTAAACCTCATATATTCCAACTTGAATCTAATTGTAAAGGTTACTCTCAGCATCATAAATATTTACATAGAAGTCATGGTAACAAAACAAAAATTTCTGAATATAAAATAAACATTGATTTTCTACCGATTGAAAAGATTGCTCTGAATACATTAGACCTAAAACTTCCTGTACTTACATCTAAGTCCATTGACATGTCTGATATATTACATTCTGCAAAAAATATAGAAGATGTCACGAAAGAGCTGAAAATCTATACATCAAATTGGCACTATCGCACATGGTTAAGTACTGATCACAGTACTTTTCATTATACTATGTATACTATTGCCACAATTGCAATACTTTGTATTTTATTTAAGCTTCGAGTATTCCATTGTATTTGTAAAAATTGTGTATGTGCTTCTAAAGAGTGCGTACTTAGGTTATGTCCAAATTGTCTTGCATTCTGTGAAAGAGGGAGACAATGTAACTACCGCCCGATCCGAAAATATTCAACCAGTAGTTCGCTATAATCAAGTTAGTCGACCATCCTCAGAGAATAACAATTAATTTAACCTATGTTTATAAAAGAATAAACATTTCTGATCAATTCTCAAAGTTATTCATTATTTCAATAAGAGCAAACTACCTTTATATTAGTTATGTCAGTTATATTTTAGATTTCATATGCCATAAGATTCTTTGCTATAAATATTTCGTCAAATCTCATTTATCGTAGATTTATTACAGAACGTATAATAATTTTTAATAATGTATAATAATTTTTAGTTTTCTTTAACAATGGAAGATGGAACCACGTGCACTATCTGTGGCGAACCCCTAGAAAATAATATAGATACAATCGTACAAGTGCATTGTCGAGGTTTAAAAACTTTTATAGATAAAAATAAAAGTAGAGAAGATGAAAAACACATACTATGGGAAGGGAAAGAAAGTGTCAATTTTCACGAAAGCTGTAGAAAACGTTATTCTGCGTTGAAATCGACGAGTAAAAGAAAAAGAGAATCTTCTATACCTTCCTTATATTCACCTACAACTTCTAACGATTCAAATGATTTTAATTTTGATGAATATTGCTTTATTTGCAATAAATTATTAGACCGTTATCATAAAAAAGTTTCTACTTTACAACATTTATATACTTACCAGAATATTTTAAAAGTAGCTTCTACAAAAAATGATGAACTTGGTGGAGCAGTATGGAATCGACTTCGTAACATGTCCTTTAAGGAAAAATTCTTTCAATACCATTATGTGTGTTATATTAATTTCTGGCATAATCCTTCGAAAGTATCGTTAGAAGAAGAACATTCAGAACAAGTAACTGATCTATCTGACGAAGAACCCGTATCTTCTAATTTTGACATTGAAAGAGATCGTGTAATTGATAATATATGTAGTTACATTGAGAAAAGTGGCAAATTTCAATTTACTTTATCGAAATTGCATGGTTTGAATGAAAAAAAAATCAGAAATAAACTATTGTGCAATAGATTGCAAGATAAATACAACGATGATATTTTTATTTTGAAACATCCTGGTCGGGAAATATTTATTTACTATAAAAAAATTAATTTCACTCAAATATGTAGCGATTGGGTTAATAAAAAGTCAATAAGCGATTTCGAAAAGAACGCCGTTATAAATTTTGCTACTGAAATTCTGCGGTCTGAAATTTTGAACGCAAAATATCAAAATTCTTTGTACCCACCAGCTGAAAAATTTCTTGATAACGTGAATTCAGAAATTCCACAATTATTAAAAAACTTCCTCGACGGCGTTTTAAATAGTAAAGGAAGAATGAAAAGTGTCGAAGAAAATCAAGAGAAAATCGACATGATTGCACATAGTATAGTGACTTACACACGTCCAAGAGCTTTTCTTTCGAATTTACAGCTGGCTCTAGGATTGTATGTTTATAGAAAAACGGGATCGCGAATCGTAATTGACCTTCTTTCGAAATTTGGAGTATGCGCATCATATTCATCTATTCAATTATATGAAGCCTCAACAATCATTAATTCGCCGATTCATCATGTTGATAGTGCATTTGTTCAATTTATATTCGATAATACCGATCACAATGTTGGAACATTAGATGGTCGCGAAACTTTTCATTGTTTAGGGGGTGTTACGTGACAGTTTTGATGTCTCTTCAAAACGGGCACGTGTTAGACCGTTTTTAGCTCCGAGTGGTCCTGACTCGGGCGGACTAGACCTTCAGTACGGTTCCCCGACCGTGTCACCGAATGGATCGCGTCTTTGCCGATAATATCCGAAGTTCGTCCCTGCGAGGGGTAGGCGGCAGTAATCGGGAAGGAAAAAGGGAGGGGGCTTCGCCGGTTTACTTAAATGAACTTACACCGGTACGTTAGATAGGTTTATATATATATATATATTTTAATACGTCAGATAACACTTCTAGTAATAATATTGCGCTACTATGTGGTTCGCGATTTATTAAATAAGTATTCTAAATTGCGCGGTCAGTGGTGCTTACACACTTGGTCCCGGTACGCAATCATGTGGATTCACCGAAAGGGGAACCTTGATTATGCTTAGTAGTATTAGAGCGAAGAGAGAGAGAGATAATAAAAAAACAATAAGGAAGAGATTTCAGCTTATCGAAAATAGAGCCCAAAAGTACTCACTCTGTTGTCTAGGTCCAAAATATAGTTCGGTTTGTGATATGTCCAATATATTCTTTTTATCCAATAGTGTAGTTAATTGCAAGAAAGTGATAATTCGTATGGTCAATTTGTCCAATATATTCCTTTTATCCAATAGTGTAGTTAATTGCAAGAAAGTGATAATTCGTATAGTCAACTTGTCCAATATATTCTTTATCCAATAGTGTAGTTACTCACAACTCAAACAATTATATTCTCAAACTTCTATTATAGTTTTTAACTTCACGTAGGAAAAACGTAGGCTTCTTTATTGAGCGCTCGCTCCTAACTAACTGAATTCTGTCGCTCTGCTTTCGCTGGTTTATTTTATAGCCTTTGTCCCGAGCATACCGTCTCACTCTCGCGCATATACTTTAAACGTTTACGCTTCTCGTATCGGCTCGTCTTACCAAGCTAAGCACGCTGACCAACGCATGCCGTCGTAGCATGCTGGCGCAGCGTGAATCAGCCTCTGCCGCACATTCCCACCGAGTCGCGCACACGAATACTGCTGATTATACTATGTCCGAACGGAAATCTCGGGTCCGAAATATTATTTGACAAAATAAAAATAAAAAAAAATAATACAATGAAGTTTCACGTAACATCCCTCCCCCCTTAGAATCGTTGCCGTCCTCGGCAATGTATCAAGAGCCACAGGGTCTGCAATGGGTCGGTAAGGAATAAATTAGTGACTAAATTAGTAAGTATATATAGGTCCTTTATTCCTAGTCCATTAGTATAATGGATGATAGCGTATAAAGAGGGGGGGGAGGTGTGTACATGTATTTAATAAGGGAATCTGGTCCTAGTAATAAGTAGTAATAAGGAACCTGGTCCTAGATTGTTATCCGTGCTAAATCATCCGAGATGGCCTGCGCCGTGTTGTTGGTCCTTGCTGCTGGTTCTGTAGGCCCAGCGAGGTCGATTAATGTCTGTTCTTTTACTTTACTATCATAATCAAAATTCCTAATATTACAGCCCTTTAGGTGCTGGTCCCATTCTCTTAATTCTATGGACCTGCCGCAGAAGAAGTGTTTTCTTAAATTACTTCCGATCTGCACATCGCAGAGTAACACGTGCTTGCCGCGTTCGTTAGAGGAAATCCAGTGGCCGCAGAGATCGTGCTTTTCGTAGAGGTCCAACGCGTTTTCGCCGTATTTTATGATCCTGGGGCGAATAAGTCTGGCTTTAAAATACTGGCCAAGCTTATTTGCGACCACCCTTTCTGCGTCGGAGGTATGGATAAATGCGGCGAACCCCATTAAACCGTTTCCATTCCGCATCGGGACGTACTTTATGTAGTCCATAGGGCCAAACTTTAGTAAGGCCTTATTTGCCATTACTTCGGTCCAATTATAGGGTAATAAGAAGTGAATCCTATTTAGGCGATCGTATTTAGGACCAAGGTTTTTTGGTTGGGGGACCAGGGCGGCACTACTCACGCCGGTGTTTTGCCCATCCTCGTCATCAGATAAGTCTGGTTCATTGGCGGCTTCCGAGAGGTCGTTGCTGTCAAATATTACCTTCTCAAGGTGATAATAGGTCGGTAAGTCGTCTTCCAGTCCCAGAATTTCCTTGGAAAACGGTTTCCGATTGTTGAATAACTGCTCGATTGCCTCCAGGGCATGAATGGGGTCCGCAAAGTAAAAGATTGTACATCCTATGCTTTCCCTGAATTTCTCGGGAATCGCCACGTCAATCATCTTTTCTAAGGGTCCATATTGGCAAGCGAGCCACATTGCTTCCGCTTTCCTGTTCGGGTCCATGTATATCATTGTAAGTCCATAGTTTTCGTTAAGCATTGGCTCAACGTCATATCTGAGCCGTGGGTCCATGTTAAAGGTCTCTGTAAATTTTAAGTATGGTCCTTTAGAGAGATAAACGATAAAATGTAGATAAATCGGAAGTGGGATTTACTACGAGAAGCGTTAAACGGGGTTTTACAATTAGTTCACGGGTAGTATCTACAAACATGCAATTATTCAAGGTATTATTTAATCGTCGGCGCGCGTATAACTAAGATTAACAAAAGTGACAAAGATGATCATACTTAGTTTGAAAGAATTTCCTTTAAGCTACAAAATATTTTTTTTTTTTTTTTTTTTTTTTTTTTTTTAAATAGATTTATATTTTAGTGTAATCAGCTTTCTCCCTTTTGCCCCATTTTATACATAAGTTTCTAAATATTCTCGCTCTTGGTCAATGTTTGTGTTTATTTCATCTTCAGGTGGAGTATCAGCTTGGTCATTGGATTTCACGTGCTTGGGTTCAGGATCAATTGTGGTATTGTTCGTGCTTATAACTATAAGGTTTGACGATGGTCTTCTAACTTCTGATTTTGGATAACGTTCGTTAGCCTTTTTTTCCCTTATCCTTTTCTGATGCTGCCACGTGCAAGTCTTGTCATGGTCTGCGTAAATCGTAAGCTCTATTTGTTCGTCGCATAACCAGTGGTGTTTGGTTTCGTAGTCCTGATTCCAACGTCGTTTCTGTAATTGCGCGAATTCTGCGCCATATATCGGGTCACACCTTTTTACTGCTCTGTCTGCGTCAGTCGCATTGTAGTATTGAACATATCCCAGAGCCAATGATCCCCTTGAATCTTTCAATACTTTATGATACAGCAAGGGTCCGAATTCTACGAAATGCTTCGATTTTCTTCGATACTCCACGGTAGTCTGCAGAATAAGCGTGTGTTATCAACTGGTCTTGGTGAAGATTTTCTAAAAACTCTATGCGCGGCGAATGTTTAGTTATTAGGTCAGGGGTCCATGATTTAGTCCTCCTAGCTATTTTAGCATGTTCGACCTGATCGAATTTACATAACAGAAATTTTAAGCAGGTATTGGCCCTTTTTTTTAGTGCATGAAACTCCTGAACTGGTCCGATCTGTTCCAATCTGTATAGAAGTCCATTTAATGGCAGGTGGTTAGGGTAAAGAATTTTTATACTTTTAGGGTCCTGTACCGTATTATTGATTACTTCACTCATGTCGTGTTTTCTTCTCCCCTTTTTTTTTCTGAAACAGATCGTGAGTTGGTCATATAAATATGTTAATAGTCATTAAGTTAATTCTGCGATTTGGGTTTGCAGTGCAAGGGTATTGTCGTGTCGCTTTTGGGGGTTAGGTTTCGGTTTAGATGATGCTTTTGATTTTGTTTCGTTTTGGTCCAATGAATTGTCGCTTAACGTATGAACAATAGATTGTCTTGGTTCATCCGTCCGTTTAGAATTCTTCCTGGTCCTAGTCATTTTTAGACTTTGGAAAATCGATGTGGTTCTTGCTATAGAGTCTCGGTTAGGTTTACGAGCGTCGGGTGATTTGTGAGTTTTGGTGCTATGCGAGGTCCATGTGCAGTTAGTGCACCATCTATACGCAAGTGCAATTAGTAACATTATCATAATAATATTGATACTTAGTCCTCCGTAGATCAGTCCGGATTGATAGGTAGTAATTTTATTGTGTTGACTTATAGTTTCTGCTTTTTCCATAATATCATTTAAGGCTTTTTCCTGGCTAGTCTACATTCCAGATTGCGGGACCCATTTTTCTAATTTTATATCTGAATCGAATAAGTGATGTACGGTAGGGTATAGAGTCGTTAAGTTGAGGTTCAAATCTGGTTTATATAGATAAATGTTCGTGTCATTCCTTTTTGCTTCTGTTAACAGAGTAGCGTCACTCGAGTATCCAATACAGCCTGGGGCGATTTTGAGTATCCCTAGCCCTTGTATGTGGATCATCTGGTCCATTCGGTCCGGACAAGCGATTCGTATAGTGTCCAGTTGAGGAGCAGAGAAAATCCACGATCCGTCCATCGAAATATAATTCCATTGCGTCGTTTCCTGACTTTTCAGTACTATATCACAATGGTACAATTCATGGGCGGATGGTTGTATTAGCATTCCTAATTCACAGTTCTTATGCAGATTAACATCTAGAAGGGGTCCTTTTACTGAGCATACAAAGGTGTAGTGAGTTCGAGTGCAATCTAATAGAGATTGATGGTCCATTTGCATATACTGTTTTTGATCTGAGCTCAAGGCTAAGTAAGGGTAATTATATTTTATGTATGCTGACCCTTTTTTAGAGATCGATAATTGTGGTACTAATATAGAATGCAATCTATATAAATTATAGTAATCTCTGTCCACAAGGGGCAAGTGCACTACTATACATGTCCTTCCTTCGCGATGCGATGCATCGATTTTCGAAATTCTAACTATTTCTTCCACTCTGTGATGCTCCGTTGGAATGGGAAAATCAAGGTCCGTTACAGTATGTTTGATATCATTAACTATTTGGTGCAGCACATCAGTGTTTATTAAATCTGGGTGCACTTTTCCTTCTTTTAATGCGCGGAGAATTTCTAGAAATCTTTCTGAACCTTTAATGAAATAATCTAATCTAGATTCCAACATTCTTCCAAAAGATTGTACAGAGATCATATATTCTAAGCGTGCGTT